TGGACTCTCAAGGAGGCAGGAAACCGGGAACAGACCCAGCAGACTGAGTCTGAGGTGCCTTGAAGCCTTCAAGGGGCGCTAGCCGCAGGCAACAGGACAAGCTGGTCTGGAGCTCAGAGGAAAGAATACAGCAAACAGAAGCGCGGGGTCCTCAGGGTGCTGATGGCAGTGGGGTTGGAAGCCATGAGTGTGCTGAGACAGCCTGGGGAGTGAGCATGGGGTGAGAAGAGCAGGCTTCAGGTTGAGCCCCGAGGACTGTCACTGTTGGGGGTGGACAGGACCTGTGAACACATCTGCGCAGGGGTGGCCAGGAGGTCAAAGGGGAATCAAGTGCGACATTGTTACAGAAGGGTGTGCATGGTTTCCAGGACGGAGTGGACACCAGCGTCCATGCTGCTGAGCAGTCAGGGGCGATGGGGTGGGGAGAGAAGTGAGGGAAGAGGCCTGGTGAGAATTTAGCTTTGAAGCCAGGCGTGGTGGCACATGCCTGTAATTCCAGCACTTGGGAGGCTGAGGCAGGAGGATTGTTGAGAGTTTGAGACCAGCCTGGGCTACAAAGCGAGCTCAAGGTCAGCCTGAACTGCATGGTGAGACCCTGTCTCAAAAAGACAAAAAAAAAAAAAAAAAAGAATTTAGCTTTGGTGTGTAGGGGCCATGAGCAGGGACACAGCCCTCTGGGGCCGCCTGTGTCATAACCTTCTTTTTAACTGTGGAACTCTTCTTTAACTACTGATCTGTTTGTGTACCAAAGACAGAAGGGAACTGTAGGGTGTGGGGAGAGGGGTTATGTGTGCCTGATTTCAAACTGCATTAAAGAACATCTCTTTTATGGGAAGTGGGAGTAAAAAGAATTAAGATGTGTTGTGTACATGTACTAGCTCTCTACGGTGAATTTACATAATCATTACATACTGTGATCATGTACTGGTCCAAGTAAAAATTTTTAAATTTTAAAAAAGCATACTAACCCTCAAGCAGCATCTGATTGCACCCTAAAAGCTTGTATTACCTTCTGATGGCTTTGCCCTTTCTTACCCCAGGAGACGAGGGCTTCTACTATTTTTATTTGCCTCCTGTATTTGCCTGGGTAGGAGGGGGAAAGGAAAGAAGTGGCTAGATTACAGTTAAAGGGGGAAAAAAAAGAACCTTTCAGAAGACACTGTTAATACCTTCTCTCTTTTTCTTTAATCTTTTTTTTTTTTTGGCACCAGGAATCGAACTCAGGACTTTGCCCTTGCCAGGCAGGCGCTGTGCTGCTGAGCTACCTTCCCGACCTCCCTCCTCTTGCCCCCTAACCTCTCGTTCACACACTTCTCAAAAGAGTTCTCCCCACTGCCTCAACTCCCACTCTCCTCTGCCTCCATCATGGACACGGGTCCCTTCAAACTTGCCAATGGCAAACAGACTTCCAGATCCAAGCCAAGTTCCAACATGAACTTGTGGGTGCATTTGACACTCTATCTATCCCTTCTTAAGTCTCTCTCCAAGGTCCCACTACCCTGGTTTCATCATTTAAGGAAAAATAGCCAGACTTTGCACGACGAGCAACACCAAGTAGTGTCTGGCATTATGCAACATTCCCATTCCTCCTAGGGATCATGTTATTCTCTCATTCTCTCTGTCTCTCTCTCTGTTTTTGAGACAGGGTCTCTCTATGTAGTCCAGGCTGGCCCTGACTGACTTGCAAACCTCTTGCCTCAGCCTCCTGAATGCTGGGTTTATAGGTTTGCACTACCATAACGAACTGACAGATCATCTGATTCTCTAGGGGGAAGTCTTTGTTAGACTTCCTATAGACTATTGATTAGAATATTTTACAGCTCTTGAGAGTAGAAGCTAATTTATAAACATTTCATAACAGATACATAATTCTTGGCAATGTAAGTATCTCCTGTCTGGTAGAATAGTGAACCACAAAGATTATAGTTTCTTGCCGTGTAGGGTGTTCACCTGTCTTATGAAATCATTTTAACACTCTTTTGCCCAATCAATTCAGCATCCACTACTGAATTAACTAGTCTTCACATCTTACTGTTTTTCTTTATTCATAAATGAATGGATAAAAGCTTCGAGCGTTGGCTATGCAGCTTAGTGGTACAGTACTTTTTTGTTTTGTTTTGTTTTTTTGGTTTTTCTCTGGTACCGGGAACTGAACTCACGACCTTGCGCTTGCCAGGCAGGCGCTTTGCAGCTGAGCTAAATCCCCAGCCCCTGGTACAGTACTTATGTAGCATGTGAGGGGCACTAATGTTTGATCCCAGTACTACAAAACAAACACATATATATATATATATTTGGGTATACTTTATTTTTTTTTGAGAGTCATGTTTTTTAACTTTTTGAAAATTATTCTTTACATTCTCCTAAACTCTCCATGGCTCCACCTCAGCAGGCTATGCCGAGGATAGGGGGCCGGGGCTGAGCTGTGTGACTATCTTAGTCACTCTTCTTGTTGCTGGGACTCAGTACCTGACACCAACAAATTGAAAGAGGAGAGGTTTGTTGTGGCTCACCCCTTGGCCCATAGTCAGTTGGCTCCAAGGCTGGACATCAGAGCAGAAGGGCCTGGCGGAGGAAAAGCTGCTCATGTTAAGGGAGTCAGGAACCAGAGAGCCAAGAGAGAGGATGTACCCTTCGGGGCCACACTTCTCAGTGACCTGCCCCTTCGGAACAGGCCCCACCTCCTAACACCACACTCAGCTATAACGTCCCCCGTGATTCAATCTCTTTGCAAAAGCCCCACCTATGAGTACCTGAGGCTTTGGCGGGCACATCCACATGTAAACCTAACAGTGACTCACTAGGGAAAAGCATAAAAGGCTTTCCTGACAGGAGCTCTAGTGTCCTGTCAGGACTGCCTTGGTTTGCGTGGGGTTCCAGAATTACCTGCCAGGTCTGAGGTTGGGTCTCCTCTGAACTGCACTGGGGTGCAATGGAGGGTCCTCTGGGTATCAAATCCTCAAGTAGCAGGACCCTTGCTCAGCACAGAGGGGAGCCTTCTCAGCCTTCTGGACTGGCCTGCTGATGTCCATTGCAGAGGAGGGAATGCTTCTTCCTCTCCCATCCCCAACTCCTATGGTCCTAGAAAACCAGTGGAATAAGGGGGCGTGAGACCCTCACCCATAGCTAGCCACCTCATGCACAAATTTCTTTTGAAATGCTTTTTTAAAAAAAATGTGCTTGGGCTGGGGATATAGCTCAGTGGCATAAGCACCTGCCTGGCAAGCGCAAGGTCCTGAGTTTGATTCCTGGTATGAAAAAAATAAAAAAAAAAAATGTGCTCTATGCATTCAATCCAACTTTGTAACTATTTTGTTACTTTCACTAAGCAAAACCAGCCTTTTAATAAATTCCATCTTGTATTTGTCCTGTTGTTTAGCCCCAATTTAAGAAAAACTAAGATGTACTGTTCTACTTGTGTTGGGTTCCGCATCTAACATATAACCTCATTTAACCCCTGAAACCTTCTCTGTAGGTGTGTGACACAGTTCTAGCTTACTGTTGAAGGAATTCAGACTTAAAGAGTTAAATGACTTGCCCAGGATCACACGTGGTATCTCATTCTGCTGATGGTCTTCCTTGATTTATAATTATTTATTCCTCCATAAGCAGGTCTAGTGGGGCCTCAAAGACTTACCCACCTCTTCCTCAGCTGGGAAGATCGGCTCAGGAGGGGCCAGAAATAGCCCAAGGTTACATGGAGAGGAAGCTGCAAAAATAGGTCTCAAGCCCGGCGTGGTGGCGCACGCCTGTAATCCCAGCAGTCGGGAGGCTGAGGTAGGAGGATCGTTGTGAGTTTGAGACCAGCCTGGGCTACAAAGTGAGTTCAAGGCCAGCCTGAACTGCATAGCGAGGCCCTGTCTCAAAAAAAGAAACAAAAGAAAAAGATCTCAAAGCAAAAACTGAGCAGGGGTACGCCCACACAAGCCAAGGCACGCCCTTTCCCAACCCTGCTCTTGTCAAAAATAGTTACAGAAAATCAAGCTCAAGGTCTGCTGTGGATGGAGGTCCCAGCAGTCATGAAACTGGGGTTTGAACTCTGGCCTTTGGGCTGGTCACCACTCTCTTGGGGCGAAGTATACCAACTTTTTACTTTTTTTTTTTTCTGGTACTGGGAATCAAACTCACGACCCTCGGCTTGCCAGGCAGGCGCTGTGCCGCTGAGCTAAATACCCAGCCCCTCCAACTTTTTAAGTATACAAAATGGGTTAATTACTGGAGAACTGGAAAGAGTCAGCGTTTACAAGGCAATCAACTATTTATTAACCTATAGATTGTCAAGAGGTGATAGACCAAAGGCCATTCTGGGCTCAGGAGCCGCACTGTCTGGGCTCAGATCCACGTTTTTGTTGTTGTTGTTGTTTTTGTCTTTTTGAGGCAGGGTCTCACTATGCAGTTCAGGCTGGCCTTGAGCACACTTTGTAGCCCAAGCTGGTCTGGAACTCGCAATGATCCTCCTGCCTCAGCCTCCCGAGTGCTGGGATTACAAGCGTGCGCCACCACGCATGGCTTGGATCCATGTTTTAATCCTTTAAGCAACCTGTTTTAATCCTTTAAGCAAACTGGGTAAATTTCTATGCCTCAGTTTCCTTATGTGAAATGAAGATAATAGAGAATAGACTCATAAAATTATTGTAAGGGTTCAAGGGCTTGGAAGTGTCTGAAACATAGTGTCCCATAGGATTTAGCTTTATTGGGGCTGGGGATTTAGCCCAGCGGCACAGCACCTGCCTGGCAAACGCAAGATCGTGAGTTCGATTCCCGGTACCGGAAGAAAAACCAAACCAAACCAAAAAAAAAAAGGATCTAGCTTCACTTACAGGTTTACTCTTTATGGGGCGGGTATTTTGTAAGCCCCAGAAGACAAGGGTCTCTTCCAGGCCCCGCCCCCGCCCGGTCCCGCCTTCTCACCGGATCCCACCCCAAGCCCGCCCGGGTTCCTCCTGCCTACCAGGGGGCGGTGGTGCTGACGGCGGCTTTCAGGACGAAGTAGACGGCACTCTAGGGAACAGCAGTGCTTCTCTGTGGCCGATGGAGGCGGCGCTCTAGCCGGCCTGTGTGCTGGGAGAATTCTCAGTGGTGCGGCCGGCGGGCAGCGATGGCGGCCGTGCGCGGCCTGCGAGTGTCGGTGAAGGCAGAGGCCCCCGTGGGTGCAGCTCTGGGGCTTCCGTCGCCTGAAGTGGAGTCCGGCTTGGAGCGTGGTGAGCCGGAGCCCATGGAAGTGGAAGAGGGCGAGCTAGAGATCGTGCCGGTGCGGCGCTCTCTAAAGGAACTGATCCCGGTACGGGCAGGGGGCGGGGGACGGGGGGTGAGGAGGAGGTCGCGGAGCGATCGCCCCGACCGACGGGGACCGGAAGGGGAGGTGGCCCGGGTCCCACCCGGGGAAGTTGGGGGAGGGAGATGGAGCGCGGGCGTCGGGGGCCGGAGGACGGGTTTAAGGCGAGACCCCGAGCGAGATAAAGGACGCCGGGGCGCCGGAAATGGGTGTTGAGAGGGCTGGAGGTGGGGTGATCGGGGAGAGAGTTGAAGACACCCCATCGCAGCCCCTCCGAGCCATGATGTGCTAGGGAGTGAGTGAGCAGGGGCTAGGGTTGAGATAAACGGGGAGTCCCGGGCGGGAACAGAACCTGGAGCGGCCCAGAAGGAGCCGTTCTGTGCACCCGCATCCAAGTCTCCTTGTAGGTCCTGCTCCTGTGGAGTTGGTGTCTGTTAAATATGGCACTCGTTCTTTCTCTTGGAAAAGCTGGACCTGACAGTCTCAGGCACTGTTACTGTTGTGACTTAAGGGTCATCTTGCGTCCGCGCATTTCCGTTGCTCTGTAGCCCCTACCTCGTAGCCCTAGCATCTGACCCGCAGTGAAGTCAAATTATCAGGACCGCTACGTCCCTTCGTCTCTCTTTTACCACTGCGGGAATGATCAGGTATGTTTTGCTGTGGTTTGGAAGTCCTATGTCCAGTTAGGCCTGGCCATCGGTATCACACATCAGCTTTTTAAAAACAGTATGTCAGCAAATCTTGTTTTTTAAACTGAAGTTGTGGCAAAAGACTAAGTTAGGATGCTTAGTGATTAGCAAATGATCATGAGTGTGGCGTCAATTAACATAATGGCATTTTGCCATTTGCTACATTGTTTTATTTAAATATCACTGCAGTTGTAACATAAGTATCAACATCCATTCATTCAGGTCAACATATTTGTATCCAGTCACCCACTGTATGTTAGGCGTATTTCTGCGTTCTGCGTGCCTGATCAACATCAAGATCAAATTCCCTCCTGGAGTTTAAGTTCTAGTGGGGACACAGTAGATGAATGATTTCCATTAGTGTTAAGTTCTATGAAGACGATAAACATGTTAGTGGGTAGAAAATACAGGGGTTTGCAGAGCATCAAGCAGAAGGTGATAGGATGGCCGGAGAAGTCCTCTGAGATGGTGACATTTAAACAGAGCTGGGGGCTGGGGACTTAGCTCGGCGGCAAAAGCGCCTGCCTGGCAAGCGCAAGGTCGTGAGTTCGGTTCCCGGTACCGGAGAAAAACCAAAAAAAAAAAAAAAAAAAAAAAAAAACAGAGCTGTAAATGACAAAAAGGAGTCAACCATGTGCAGATTGGAAGGGAATGTTCCCAGCAGGGACAACAAACATCAGGCTCTGAGATGGGAACAAGATTGTTTTGTTGGAGAAATGTTTTGTTGGGAGAGCAGAAAAAAAGATCAGAAAGATAAGCTTGGAGGCAACCAAGGCCCAGACCGGCCCAGGAAATTGTACATATAGTGTGGGAAGTATCGGAACTGAGAGTTTGGTCCCTGTTCACATCCCGTCCTCTTTTCATTGCACTCTGCTGTGTTTTCCCCCAGGAATTCTAGGTGGGCCGGTCTTCCTGCATTTGGATGGGGGCTTGTGCTCCACCTGGTGGCCTTGCATGGGCATTTTTGTCCCGTCTGCATTTGGGGAAATCAATGACTGTGCCTCATCTTTTATTTATTTATTTATTTATTTGGTCTTTTTGAGACAGGGTCTCGCTATGCAATTCAGGCTGACCTTGAGCTCGCTTTGTAGCCCAGGCTGGCCTCGAACTTGCAACGATCCTCCTGCCTCAGCCTCCCAAGTGCTGAGATTACAGGTGTGTGCAGTGCCTCATCTTTGACATTTTTCATAAAATCATTTAGATTTTCATTTACTTGGATACCTTCAGTTGTTGGAATATTTAAGATTTTAGACAGGAAAAAGACTTCTTATGGGAGTGGTTGATTTCTACTGTGGAGTCTTGGGAAAGGCTTCTTAATGAGGGGTTGTCCTGGGTGGGGAAGGGTTGCTGAAGAGGATGACTTGAAAGTGAACCAGTTATCGGACTGCCTTTTATTTGGATTTTTCCTCAGTTGCTGTCAGGATTTCTCACCCTTCCTCTTTATGTTAGGACACAAGCAGAAGATATGAAAACAAGGCTGGCAGCTTCATCACTGGAATTGATGTCACCTCCAAGGTAAGACACACCATGATTCCTTCAATTTGATAAGCTGGTGAACTTAATGAACTTGGTCCCTAGGATAAGCAGAACAATAAGTATTCTTTATCTCCTTTTTTTTTGTTGCTAGATTTTAAATCTTAAAAAAAAAACAACACAACACCTTTTTGTTCTACAATGATACTTCATGTATTCTGAAAACATCCAGGGACCATTTTGTATTTTTTCATCCACAAAAAGATAAAATCACTATACCTAGGTGCCTGTACTTAGCCAATTCTGGGAAAGAATTCTCTACCGGGAATGGTTTTTAAAAATACTGTGTTTAGCCCATCATGGTTGCTCACATATGTAATACCAGCACTTGGATGGCTGAGGCAGTAGGATCATGTGAGTTTGAGACCAGCCTGGGCTACATAGTGAGTTCAAGGGCAGCCTGAACTGCATAGCGAGACCCTGTCTCAAACACAACAGCAGCAACAACAATAGCAACAGAAAAACCTCAGAAAACAAATCTAAAATAAAATTTAATAAATAAATAAATAAATAAATAAATTACTACGTTCTTTCTTGAAAAATGTGTGCTGTTTCTGTTTGAATAAAACAAAACGTGGAAAGCACCTAGCATGTTTGGCTGTTAGTAAATGTTTTTATTCCTTACCAGTTGCAGACTTAGAAAAATAAGATTTCTTGACTGTGTATCTGTCTAAACTTTGAAAGCCAAGTCAACTGAATTATTCTCAGTACCTGAGAATATTGCCTTTTATCTAGTGATAGCATAGCACCACTTTTATGTAACACCTGAGTGAATGAAACCTGTTATTTTCCTTGTCAATAGTCAATACATATTTAATCCAGATTAGACATTTCCCCCCTCACTTAAATATACACAGTTAAGTTTGGAATAGAACTTTGAATTACATTTCTGAATAAAAGTAAGTATTGCTATGTTGGCTGTCTAAAAGCAAAAATAAAAATATATCTTTACAGCCTTTTTATATTTCATCTGTGTTTGTATGTCTTTTTTTATCTTTACAGTACTAGGGGTAGAATCCAGGACCTTTGTGCTGAGCCATGTCCCTAGCCCTTAAAAAGTTTTTTTTTTTAAATTTTGAGACAGGGTCTCAGTAGCTGAGTTGCCCAGGCTGGGCTCAAATTGGTGGCTCCTGCCTTACTGTTCCAGAATGCTGGGATTACAGGTACATGCCACCACACATACCTCTGTCTCAGATTTCTTAAAGGCCAAAAGTAAAAGCTTTTCTCCGGTATGGTTTTTAGACATACAAGAAAATAGAATAAAGTGGAAAGGTTTTCGTATTGTAATTGAAAAAGGAGTAGACGTTTTCTAATCCTACATTATTTGCCTACATTATATGCCATTAAATGGGAGAAAGATCTGTAGTCCACAGTTGGTGCTTAAATTGCTACTGAAGGAAAATAGATTGTTGTTTGTAGTAGGAGTACTTCAGTGAAGAGAATTAGCATAACATTGGGAGTAACTGAAGTGTTGCTGCTTTACCAATCCCCACAAGCTTTGCAGAATCAGACCTTCAATTAGTGTGGCAAAGTCAGTATACAATTAGTGAAGGATTCTTAAGAGCCATTAGAAAGCCACAGTTGGACCTGGATTTATTTTAGCTCTTGGAAGAAACTTATAATACTGATTATTTTTTCAGTGAAGTGTCAGTGCGTGTCACTTAAAAATGAAAACTGGCAATTCTGTGGACTCAAGCCTAGAATAGAGGAGGGTTTCTTTGCTTCGGTGTTATTTTTATTTTTATTTTTATTTTTTTTTTGGTTTTTCTCCGGTACCGGGAACCGAACTCACGACCTTGCGCTTGCCAGGCAGGCGCTTTTGCCGCTGAGCTAAATCCCCAGCCCGCTTCGGTGTTATTTTTAAATGGAGAACTAGCTTTAGGGAGTGGACTGTTCGGGCAACAGAATGTGGAAGAGCTTGATAGGTGTGATTACCATGCCACAGAAATGTGAAGTGGTGGTGGTGGTGGAGGCTCCTAGAAATAGCACTGAAATCAGAAGATCTGCCCCGAAATACTTTCAGCAAGAATTTTTTACTTTATTGTGCCTCATTTGCCATACCTGGAAAATTGAGATATTGAGATCATTGAATTGTAATTTGTTGGCATGATTGCATTTTGATAATGAATGTCAAAAAACTTCGTGAACACCCATTGTATCGCTTCTATGTTCCAAGCACAGTGATAGGCTATGATAGGATGGAGATAACTACAAATTATAGGAGTGATAATATATATCCACATTAAATGTAAATACCCGATTCCTTGTAAAACTCATTCAAAATTCAGTGGTCCTTATTTCTTCTGATTTATTTTAGGGTTGTTACTGATGTATCTTACTGTATTTGGATTTAACTTTCTTCCTCCTCCGTGTTTTACCTCTTTGCCTTTTTCTGTACTTTCCAGGAAGCAATTGAAAAGAAAGAACAGCGAGCAAAGCGCTTCCATTTTCGATCAGAAGTAAATCTTGCCCAGAGAAATGTAGCTTTGGACCGAGATATGATGAAGAAAGGTACAGGGTGTTGTTGGGGAACTTTTCCACACTTGCCAGGAGCGTGACATTTCTTTGTCATTGCCTCCTTCTGGCTTTGCCCTGCCTATCCTATCCTCACCTAAGTACTCCCGAAGGAAGGGACTTGTGAAGTCCCCATTCTTAGGTCATCTGTGTAAAGTTTGAGATGCCATCAGCTGTGTCTCAGATGTGAAAGCTAGAAAAAAAAAAGATTGTCTTTCCTGAGGTGGCCCAGAGAAAGTCACCGGTTGGTGGCAGAGATGAGATGAGAACCTGTGTTTCTGTGGACTCTTAACTCATTTTCTTCCTTTATCATAGAGGCTTTAACTTTTCTTACCTTAAAAGGTAGTAGTAATGCATCACAGTAAGACCTTTTAAAGAAGCTAGAGCAATTTTAGGATTGGTGGAGGAAAACTGTTAGCTCTTGTATTGATAATATGAATGCATGGTAAATGCAAACCACCTAGTAATAGTCTATTATCAGAGAAAGCTAAATTAATCCTGCCCTGGGTTTTAAACTTGCCCCTGCAGTTGAATAGGTGATTTCATTTTATTTTTATTTTTTGTTTTATTAGGGTATTGTGCTCCCTAGCAGTCATCCTGAATTATCATTTGTAGTAATCTGCTCTAGTTTTACCTAACAATTTATATATAAGGGAAGATTGCTCCTTTGTAATGAATCTACATCTTTACTTGTTATTCCACTCTAATACCAATCTTTGAATGCAAGAGTCTTCCTTCTGTTGTATTTGCAAATTTGTTTACAAAGGCACTCAATAGATTGTTCTCTGAATGCGTGTTAAAGTGTGTGTTGTCCTGTGTGAGTTCGTGTAGCCTTGCCTTCTTGATAAAAGAAAAACTAAACATGTTAAATGAATGGAAGGATTGCTACTATTTGTTGGAAACTTGCTTTCTTACCAGACACTGTGCTAAGCATATTACATATTTATTTCTCACAGCATCCCTATAAGGGAGGTTTGTGTGTGTGTGTGTGTGTGTGTGTGTGTATATTTTTTTTCATTACTTTGCAAAGAAGGAAATGGGTTCCAGGAGTTCACTAAATTGCTCAGAGGTATGCAGCTAATAAAGGTAGAATTAGGATTCTAGTCCAGGTTTATCTGACTCAAAAGCCTTGGTCTTGATTCCTTTGGTCTGTTCTTATGTAATACATAGACTCAGATTGTGTCCCTCAGCTGAGCCTACCAGGCAGAGTAGCGTGGATATAATGCTCAACTCTAAAAGCTGCGTTACTTTTTCCTTCTTTGGGAGTTAAGTCAGAAACAGGACCTTGTTTTCCTTGCAGGCTGAGGTTTCAGGCATCTCCTTGAGTGGATTTCTGTTTCAGGAGAAGCCCTATGAAGGCTCTGGACAGCTGTGCAGCTTGGCACTCCTGTGCCTGCATGATCTGGACCAGGCAGACCTTTGAGTCCCTTTCACAGCCCTATAGTTTCACCACACCTGTTGACTTCCCGTCCCAGCCTCTGGTACTGTTCACACCTTTTATTCTGCTCACTGGCCTTGCCTTGTCCGTGCCTCATCTAGTTGAGGCACTGCTTCCTTCATGAAGCATCCCTGATCACATATTTGTAATTCTTCCCCATTTTTGTTGGAGCTCTTTAGAGTGACAGATTTTCCTGAAATCTTTTGTGACTGGGGCATGTTATTAAACCTTTTTACATTTTAGTCTCCTTTCCGTAAATGGGGAATACAATACTTAATAGGATCACTTTTGGAGCTAAGTTTTAATTTTTAAATGATTTTTTTTGGGGTAAAAGTTTGGACAAGCAATTCTGATCTCATAATTCTGAAGATATTCTAAAAACAATAATAGGCCTACCTGGGTGTCAGCTGGGGGAAGGTTGCTCATTTTAAGGAGCAATATTAAAATGTGCCTTAGGCAGGATTGCCTAAGTTCTTAGAACAGTGCCTGACACATAGTAGGCGCCCTATTAATGTTAGTTCTTATCATTATCTGCATTCTCTTCCCCATAAGTAGTCATCTAATTGACCCAACCTCTTGGGTTAATGGGGATGTTGGAGAAGACATCTTGACTTCTGCAGTTATACCAAGCATCAAGTTATTTGTTCTTATTACTAATGCCAGCAGCCATAATAAAAATTCATTTGTTAAATGCTGTGTTCCTGTTACTCAACTATGTGGTTAACTTATTCTTTCAACAGTCCTGTGAGAGGAAGGTATTTATCATTTACATTTTACTGATAAGAAAACTAAGGTTCTGAGAGGACGAGAGACTTGCCCAGGGTCCCGCTGATCTTACTGAACCCTGTATTTCTAATCACCCTGCCAGCATTTGGGAACACGGTCTGGAACATTCTGCATCAGACCATTCTGCATTGAAAGATTTGCTGCTTTTGAATGACTCAGTGTCAAACAGCTACTGTCTCCTTATCTCCAAGGTCAAATCTCTCATGGTTTGAAGGGAACTTTGAGGTCATCTAGACCAATCTCCTGCTCAGCACTGGAAGTCCTTTGGGTCCTTTTGCACCTGCCAGAACACCTAGTGATGGTTACAGGAACCGTTTGTGAAGAAGCCAGCTTTGTCTTTGGATATCTCCTCAGAGTTGAGCATTGCTTTCTAGGAGTTACTATCGAATGGTTGCTGTGTGACTCTTAGAACAACACTGTTAAATTCTTTTTTCTCACAACCCTGCAGGTGATGAAGTACCGGCTTACTGCTTCCTTCCTAAACTTCTGTGTCCTGGCTTCCTGGCTTTCCTTTTTTTCCTTAATGTTTTCTTTATACTGATTTTCTTGTTTTGTTTTGTCATTTGTTTGGTTTTATTTTCTCTGCCTGCTCATTTAATTTCTTTTTATCAGATCAATAAGTCTCCTATTGCCGGGCATGGTGGCGCACACCTGTAATCCCACACTCGGGAAGCAGAGGTAGGATCACCACGAGTACGAGGTCAGCCTTGGCTGCATAGTGAGTTCAGGGCTTGAGTTGCATAGTGAGACCCTGTCCCCCAAACAGGGGGACCCTGTCCCCCCCCCCCGTCCTCCTTTCTGTATTCTTTCCAGTTTCTACATGTCCTGCCTAAGATGAGGTATAAGATGGTAGATGTGATTGGCTTCACGAAGAGAGTAGAAAGACTGTCCTGCCATCTCTGTTTAGCCAGTTCTTAGTGTAGTGCTTATCTTCTGGGCAAAGCATCCAGATCTTTTCTCCTGGAACTGGGCCTACTGAAACAGTCCTTTCCAGGGAGGCTGAAAAGGGAGGCTGCTGTAGGAGAATAGGGTTTGAGGCTGGACTAGACATTTTAGCCAGATCCTGTCTCAAGAAAAGTTTCTTACTTTGTACTGGAGACACTTTAAAAATTACCTTTTCATTTACCCCTATTAAATTATATCTTGTTGATTTCAAGCCTCTGTTTTTACCGTGTACCCTGTTAGATACGTTCCTCAATGTGTCTCCCCTCCTCCTTAATAGCCGTGGCTTCTGCTTCATCCTCTTGTTAGTGAGTGGAGCAGTACCTGAAACCATTAAGCACAGACGCACTGCTTATAGGTCGTACTCTGTTATCAGTCCATATTTCCTCTTTTTGTCGGGAAGAACCGGATTATGTGCCCCAATGAACTTGGGACAGAACACTGTCTGTGCCTTTCTTTGAATTTTTTGACCTAGTAATCCTGTCAAAAAAGAAATGAGGTTAGTGTGGCTTTCTTATTGAACTCATGTCATCTCCTATAGGAAAGACTTGGCTTTCTAAGGGATTATAGATTCTGTGTGATGAGCTACTCTTTTTTTCTTTTTAAATTTCAGAAACTTACAGTAAACTTTTCAGTCTATGGTTTGGAAATTTCCTTTTCCTCAGTTATGAAAATCAGTATGGGATTAGTCCTTCTCAAAACTTTAAGTTACTTCTCTCCTTCCCTGCTGCTTTTTAGAGAGTCTGACTTAATTCTGAAATCTCAGGTCTGTGTTTGAGTCAGCATATTGGGAGGTAATTCTGGACTAGAATGTTTAAATCTGTTAAAACTAATCCTGGGCCGGGGTATAGCTCAGTGGCACAGTGCCTTGCTTGGCAAGTGCAAGGTCCTAAGTTTGATTCCTGGTACCAGAAAACACCAAAAAACAAAAAACTAATCCTTATCCTGTGACCGCCTATCTTGTGTTCTGATTCTTCTCCAGTGGAGCTGCTCTACAGTGCTTAGAAGAGCAAAACAGATCAGCAGCTCTGCCTTTTTTCTTGCATCATCTTCCCATAGCAGTGTTGCTTTAAACACTCAGAAAAAAGAAAGTGTCAGTGCTTTTGATGAGCCTGTTCCCTCTGGACTTTCCTTCATTAGATGTTCTACAAACAGTTCATGTTCACCAAAGATAATTTGGAGAGTAGAGTAAGAAAAATTGCCCACAGTCTAACACCCACACTGTTGTCACCAACATTCTGTGTATTTACTGCGAATCTCTTTTCTGAGCGTGGACTTTCCTTTCATCTTTCCCTTTGTAGTCCTACTGCTTTTTTCCTTTATAGTTGTCAGTCTTTCGTCACTAATTTCCACGTTTCTACCTGGAGTCAGTCTTTAGTTTGTGCTATTCTTGTTTTCTTTGTCATTGTAATTTACTGTTGATCCGTCTCCCGTATGTGTTTGTTCTTTGTGGGTTGTGCCTGGCTAAGTTTTTGTTTGTTTATTTGTTCGTTTTGGTTTTTTGAGACAGGGTCTAGCTATGCAGTTTAAGCCGGCCTTGAACTCACTATGTAGCCCCAGAGTGCCTTAAACTCATGGCAGTCCTCCTGTCTCAGCCTCCCTAGTGCTGGGATTGCAGGTGTGTACCACTATGTGTGGTTCATGGCCTTGAACTCACTATGTAGCCCCAAAATGCCTTAAACTCATGGCAATCCTCCTGTCTCAGCCTCCCTAGTGCCAGGATTGCAGGCGTGTACCACTATGTGTGGTTCATCTAGGTTTGCTGCCTTCTGTTTTCTTGGGGTCACCTTTCATATTGAGTTGTTGTATTTGGTGTCTTCTGACTTCCTTA